AAGATTGGCTTAATGTTAAAATTGAAGACGTTTCGCTACCACAGGCACTTTACTGTTGGGAAAGGCAGCATTTAAAACCTCGAAAAAAGAAGCACAATCGGGGACCTTCCATAGCGTCCGAGGAATCTACACTATTTTCGCATCGGCTTAATCGAAAATTCAAGAATTTTGACTTACTTGAACAACGAAACGCCACAAGCGACGATGAGCGAACCAGCCATAAAAGAAAGCGACGAAAGAGAAGGAGGAAAGAGCGAGGCAAGGAAAGAAAATGTAAGTCCTTACTATATCTCCTACTTACGATCTAATATCCCTTTTACTTGTAGGTTGCACATTCAAAGGACAGAATGAGCGATGTGAGAGCAATGTTGCCCCACAGAATCAACGTTCTAGAAGATCAGTTCTGAAAGCACAAAAAGGTTCCAATTCTGAAGTTTGTTCGCATAGGCGACTGGAAAGATGTACATGGCCACAGTGTAATCGATCGTGCCCGAGATTGCATAATCCGTTCACCGGTGACGAAATGGACTTCATTGAGTTATTAAAGTCGTTTGGTCTAGATATGGAAAGTGTCGCAGATGCCCTAGGTATAGACATGCCAACTTTTAATAATATGGACCCTTCAGAATTACTAAATCTACTGACCCAACAATCTAGCTGATAAAGTTTCATAATTATTATTTCATTTGTACTGTTCCTTTCCCTATTTCTAACTGCCATTTGAACGATGTCTTGGTCTTTAGTCTTAATCGATGTCGTATTTGACAACTAAATTAACACTTCACAATAATTGAAACAAACGGAAGGAGTAAATGCACCAATTTAGTTTGTAAATAGTTGTACAGTTGTTAAATTTATATTTTTTAAGTTGGTTGCTTATTTATACCTTATTTGCGTATAAATCCGTTTTAATAGCTATCCAAAGATTTGCCCAAATAGTAACCATAGGACTGATTTTTGTTCTACCTCACTATCTTAGATTGTACTTGCTAAGTTAGTTACTCAGAATTCAAGCTTTCACCTTTCTACACAAGACTGAAATAAGTATAGAATTAAACGGTTAATAGCTTTATTCGTTGTAATATCAGTACTTATGTAAATACATAACAATTTCAATGGTTAAACGCTAAGATTGGCCTTATTTGCTACTAACTACGTTTACATTGATTATGTGAGGGTCTCTCTTAATGTATTTCTGAATAAAGTACAGATTAAATCCGTGTACCTGGTAAAATATCAGTATTGTAAGGTTAGTACTTTCAGTAATGTAGGTGTAATGCCAGAGTTTTTATTTAATTCATGCACAAATGCTCAATTTACCAGAATCTTATTATACGTAAAGTACCTTGTAATTTATTTATTATATATATTGAGTAGATTAAGAAAATGTAAAAACAAATATATTTTTGTACAAAGTTATATAGTTATAACATCCGCATTGTCCCAAATGAGAATGAAGTCGATTGAATTTTACTTTTATTTTCAAAATGTTTGATTTGAACTAAAATGGCACTTTAATTTATTATCTAACTACTAGAATGCCTACAGCCAGCTTCAATTTATTGTAATGTAATGAACTTAAGGCACAAATCTAAATATAAATTTGTAAGCAGTTTTAAAAGACCTTTTTTTGTATTACAAATTTCAGTTTCTAGAACCAAACAGAAACATAGTATGACCGATTAGTATGGTAGTATACAAACAATACTATCTAACGATTTTAGCCAGCGGCAGATTTAGTCAGGGGCTTTAAAGAAGCCGAGCCAGCGGGGGCCCCGTGCCAACCACTACAAAAGGGATTAATAAGAAGAATGAGTCCAATAAGATGCTAAATTTTCATTAATTTTCAGACTTTATAAAATGCGAGTGTGATTGGACGCGCGTTATTGGGTGCAAATGTAAGAGGTTCATGCGTAATGCCCCCTAAATTCGTGAAATGTAGTTCATTTTCTCTTTCCAACGACAAGTGGAACGAGCGGGAGCGAGGCAGGGAGCATAGAACCGAGAGTCAAGCTACGTTCCGAGGCGAAACCACAGTAAGGTCGCGGTAATTCGAGGTTCCGTGCCATCCGCCCTCCAAAAGAAAAACAAGATACGCAACTTTTAATGCGGCTCATATTATCCTTGAACTAGCAGAAATTGATTAGAGGGTTGACATCGCTATCTCTTTTCGTTCTCGAGTTAGACGAGGAACAGGCGGACAGACAGACAAAACCATCACCTAATGGGAACTTCTTTCGAAAAAATTCTCTAAAACACTTGGGAACTCAAAACCATATTCTATTTTTAAAAAACGCACTCGGGAGGTTAATATTAACTATCACTCAGCATTCAGAACCATTAGAAAGAACATCAGTACAAAATTTCAGTCAAATCGATCTGCTCCCTATAAAGTTATACAATTCAATAAATATCGATTTTATTGCCAAAATGGCTTCGAATCGCCTCCAAAAGCTGTTTAGCTCTCGATCTGGTAGTTTCGAAGTAGGTGATACGGCATCAGGCTGCTGAGAGAGTGTAATTGAAGTGTCGCCGAATAATATACGCCCTGCTTCCTCCAGAACCAGCTCATTTCCGGATCGTTGTTAAACCTGATGCGTATTTGCTAAAAGTCGAAATCAGTTTATGGGGGACGGCGACATTCTTGATGAATACTACGTCCCTAACACTTATGTCAATTTCTGGCGCGCCCCTTGTCTTGTCTTCCCTGTCGTTTCTCTTTTGCTTATTTAGCAGGTCAACTTTGAACCTAGGTACAAAAAAAAACACCTGTACCTGTGAGCTATTTTAAGGTATCGTAGTAGATGTATTCAATTGATGTTTACTTTACTCAGGATAAAAGAAATAGAGCCTGGAATCAAAATTGTTTTCCACTAAAGCATTTTTTTAAATTAAAGATACGTGATTTATTAAAGTAGAATAGTTTTACAGAGTAATTTACAGAGTAAATTTACATCTTATAAAATTAAATTTTATTATTTTTAAATAATTGTACTTTAAATGAATTTTTGAATTGATTGGCATTCGACAAATAAAAGATTTCGTTAAAATGTTTATATGTTGGTAGGCTTCCAAATATTGAAGCAGCATATCCTCTTTGGATGGCAATACTAGTCCGTTGAAAAAGGAAACTGCTTGCAGTTTGCACGGGTATCGTTTGAAGAATCAGAAATATTCTTTTTCCAATTTCATTAATGAATTTATAAGCTTGTTGACCGCATACACCTAAAGTTTCTACAGCCACTGGGAAGAAAAGGTATGACTTCGTCAAATTCCGATAATTATATATTTTAGCATTTTTGCTCGATGTGGCCTGGGTCCATGATGTATCTTCTAAATAGTTGTTCGTTATGTCTTCGAGAATAATACACGTTTGATTGTCCAAAACTTTCCAATTCGTCTATGCGATGCCATGATGAGCTACATCTTAAAATATATATCATTTTAGGTATTGCAAGGTAGTTTTTTAAAAGGTATGTGTTTAGGAATGTCATCTAATAATGAGAGAAGTTGAGTTTTCTCACGTATACATTCAGGTGAAGTTTCATTAGTAATAGGAGCGCCAAGTATATTCCATTGAGATCTTGCGGGTAATTCAATGTCAGGAAATATTGAATTAAATTTAATTATATCATTAACAAGAGGAGTTGATAAGAAAAGTAACTCGCATTTGGCCAAATTAATTTCAAGGCCAATTTGGTGGGACAGGTGACTGATATCGTTAAAGCTTTTTAATACAGAATCTCTGTCACCACCTATCGCACCATCGTCAAGACACCAGCAGTTGAAATCAATATTGATTAATCGGGTAAGATCATCAATAGCGATACAGAATAGAACAGGGCCTAGAGGATCCTCTTGTTTCATAAGAAAGGTATGATGTACAACCATAACATTGGCAGAGAAATGAGTAGGTATTAATGAGATGTCTAATCGAAAAAGTACGAATTGTTTTGGATTCTACGCACCAAAATTAATAAGAAAAAGTGTTTTCCCAAGAAATTTTGGTGTAGTCGATTTTTGGCAAAAAAGGAAGGTTATACACTGCCTTTTTTTGAGCCCCGAAAAAAATATTGTCTCAGATCGACCCGGAAAAAAAATGTTCTTATAGAATGTGGCCTGTAGAATCCATAATTTCAAACAGTTCCAAGATTGGGCTACTAGTTCCAAAGTTACAGCCCTTTGAATTTTTTTTCGAAATTGGTTTCTAGTCTATAACTTTTGATTGAGAAGTCTGATCGAAAAAGTACGAATTGTTTGGGATTCTACGCACCAAAATTAATAAGAAAAAGTGTTTTCCCGAGAAATTTTGGTGCAGTCGATTTTTGGTAAAAAAAAGAAGGTTATACACTGCCTTTTTTTGAGGCGCTTAATAAAAATTGTCTCAGATCGACACGGAAAAAAAATTTCTTATAAAATGTGGCCTGTAGAATCCATAATTTCAAACAGTTCCAAGATTGGGCTACTAGTTCCAAAGTTACAGCCCTTTAAATTTTCTTTCGAAATTGGTTTCTAGTCTATAACTTTTTATTGAGAAGTCTGATCGAAAAAGTACGAATTGTTTTGGATTCTACGCACCAAAATTAAAAAGAAAAAGTGTTTTCCCGAGAAATTTTGTTGCAGTCGATTTTTGGTAAAAAAGGAGGGTTAAGTATCCAAAAACTTTGCTAAGTATACGAATACTAAATATTTGTGAATGTACTGGTATTTGAGTTACAAATACAAATACTGCTTCCATAAAAGTGTTTAATTACAAAGTATTTTCTAGTAGAATTTTGTATGTACCTACAATAGATAAAAATCACAATCTTTAAGATTCGACCACCACCGAAAAAAATAGAAACATTACCTTAGCATTATATTTTGTTGCTGTGACGAGTTGTTTGCAGTACAATCTACAAAAAAAGTCTGTAGGTACTACTGCAGATCCAGATTTGGTATTTGTTCTGATTGCGTCTTGTAGTAGAGAAACCATTTGGATAAATAATAAAAAAAGTCAGTCAAATGTAACCTTTTATTTATAAAAACAAACACAAAGACCTTTTGGACTTTAGATTTTAGTTGGAATATAATCTTTAAATAAACTATATAATTAGGTAGGTAACTGTGAAAGCGAGATTAAACATTTACAGCATCCATACATCTAAATTGTCGATACAAATGATATATCTAATTGACAAATTTCAATGTCGATATCACACCTACTTTGTATGACAGCTCAATAAAGCAGACTATTCGTTAATTTTGTGTATAATCAAAATTTTGGATTCAGTGCTTTAACCATTTTCATTTAGTGCAAATACATTGACGATCTTTACCTTTTATACATAAGTTGGTCCAAACGTTTCGATAGAAAGACTTGAAAAAATCGTGTATATAATTCAATTTATATAAATAGAGCTACCATTCAGATTACACAAATATAAAAATAGGTTGTGAAATATACTTATAGGTATTATATAAATCGATATAGGTACACGATATGTTCGTTTATCATAAGATTCATTGAACGCAAAAATGTAACTCAACTTTACTAAGTTATACTGCAATGGCCACAACTTTTTTTACTACCTTTTCTTCTTTCTTCGTTTTCCTGATCTAACTTTCTTCGTAGAGCATCTGAAACAAGCGGAAAGAAAATAAGATAGGGACTCATTCGGGACTTAAATGGGACTTTAGACCTCAATTGAAACTAGACGTTCGAGTCGTTATAGACAGTTGAAAATGGAAATCAGAAATATAGAAATAAATGCGCTTGATGACAAATGCTTTTTATGGCCACGATTCTCTTTCAGTTGTTGGCCCTCCATATTTTTACAGCTTGAGTCTCTTCAATATTTCCAATCTCCACTCCCAACTGATTTTGTCAATGTTGAGAACCAAATTCCCAAATAAAAAAATTCACAAAGACGCCTCTACATGCAATAATGATTATACAACCGAAGCATAAGGGATGGCACACTTAATAAAATACCCATAATAAGCTAATGTAAACGTTATTGCAAATAGATGAACTGAAACTATCCCATTGGAAATTATTTTAAACGACTTTTCTATATTTCATTTTAAATGACGTACAAAAAGCGTTTCTTGCTTTACATTTAAATACTTTTCTGACTCTATTTTATTTTTACTTTTTCTAACATATTGCTGCTGCACGGGGAATATATCCCCTTGAAGGTATACCAAACAAAATACATTCGAAGTAATGTTAGTTGCCTACTACCCTTTAAACGCATCGTTTTTCAAACAATCGATATCGTGGAACGAAGGGTGTTTCGCCAATTTCTGAGCCTTTCTATTCCCACTAGCTATACAAAGTAATTGAATTTGTTTTACGTGGAAATTCATGCAAAAATGATCTAAATAGTACTTATTGTATTATTTACAGCTGCTGCGCTTTGAAGTTTCTGACAGAGTCATGTGCTATGTAGTTGATCCTTCAGTTAGTTGCTTTTTGGATTCTCCATTCTCAGTTTAAATACGTATTCAGCGGACAATTTACGAGCAATCTGATAATTGACTCAATTCGCATCTACAGATCCTTCAGCTTTGTTCCTCTGACGTACGTTAAACATTCCAACGCCCTTTCATATATCGTCGTACTAGTGTAGGAAAATTAGCTTTTTTAGAAGAAAAAATTTATAAAGTTTTGAGATTTTAGTTATGAACTCTCAGTAGGAACCCAAATACAGATCTGAAAAGTTCCCACCTCCTCGGTGGGAGCTTTATCCCCTTTGCTCAAAAAACCACCCCCAATCGTAACCTCACGATCTTTTTCGGCGTTTTGTTCGTAAACCGCAACTTCTACGAAAAAATGTTATAGAACTTTTTATATTCTCCATTAAATTCTTTATAAAAATGTTTTTTTTACTGTTTTTTGCGTATCTTCCACCCAACGCTCGTAAATGACCTTGTATTAGTCTGAGCAAAAAAATGTATAGAATCGAAATTAAAGAGCAATTTTCGTCGATGAGGGATTATTTTATATTACAACCACTTCTTGTAAATTCTTTTTTCAATTTATTAAGTTTATAGTCTGCGATTTTCCTCTCCTAAAAAAAGGCAAAAGGGCAAATAAAATATTATATTCGCAACCCCTCTCAAAAAGCGAATGGCTTTGTCCGATGGAGAAAGAGTGATGAAGAAATTAAATATTAATTATTCACTATTTGTGATATGATGGTTAGTGATGCCCCCGTTGGTCTCGTCTCGAATTTTCGAAACGAGACCAAGGTTCAGTCTCGTCTTGTCTCATCTCGACGAGACGAGACTAACCATCAGTCTCGGGCTCTCGACTCTCGTTTGGTCTCGAAGTTTTTTTTGTTTTATTTTACTGTTTTTTTTTTAAATTTTAATCAAGAAAATCCATTGAAATAACATGCATTCCAATTGTTGACATAAACCGTTCCTGACCTTACTGATTTAGGACTTAATTACAATAGGTGTTATATTATACAACTGTAATTTTTCTTAAATCCAGGAAGTCTTCGACAGCTTTATTTTATTGGCGGACAATTGATTTATTAAACCTGTACCCTTATCAAGAGATTTGGTAATAATACTTAATAGGATTGCTTTATATTAAATGCCCTTAATGCTCTCATTTTATTTTCACAAGTTTATGGCATTAAATCCAATCGTTTCTAGGTATATAGGTATAGTGACTCAATTTAGAACAGTGGATACAACCGGGTATCTCGTTTTTGATTGGTAGCTCGTTCTGGTCGCCATATTGGGGCTAAAATGCTATACCTAGGTACTTTAGTATGAGTTTACACTTTTTTGTGTTCTTGCGAAATTCTGTGAACAAAGGCGCTGCTTAAGGTAAAATGTATACTGTGGACATATGACATATTCAAATATAGTTACTGTAAGTATAAGTACTTACATATTTACTGCGTAGTTAAGACCATAAAAGCAAGATTTTACAAAATAACTTGGACAGATTATCTTTAAGTATTTAAGTAACAAAGAATTCAGTGAGATACCTAGTTACAGTAGTTACATTACCAGTTAAATTTTACGAAAGCTAATATTTTTTTAGCTGCAGAATGGTAAAGAAAATCCTTATAATACACATAATTATGTTTCGTGATTAGCAGATAGATAAGGAAGGTCAATATTATTTGTTATGCCTTCGTGGTGTCTTTTATACATGCTTTACGCCATTTTTGGATAGTATGGCGAGACCACGCGAGACCAAACGACACTAGACGAGACGAGACTTTGAAAGTCTCGTCTCGTCTCGTCTCGCGGCAACAATAATGATTGTAACTGATGCATTTATCTCATGTACATTTACCAAAGATTCAAAAATAGAACATGCAATGTAGAAAAAAAAACTGCTCTTTAATTTCGATTCTATAAATTTTTTTACTCAGATTCACTTTACGAGATAATCGCCGCAAAAAAACAGCGGTGGGCTCATTTTTCTCTTTGCGCTGAAAACTATGCTTATTTTCCAAGGTCATTTACGAGCGTTGGGTGGGAGATACCCAAAAACAGTAAGAAACATCTTTATAGAGAATTTAATGGAGAATATAAAAAGTCCTATAACATTTTTTCGTAGAAGTTGTGGTTTACGAGCAAAACCCCGAAAAATTCGCGAGGTCACGATTGGGAGTGGTGTTTTGGGCAAAAGGGGAAGAAGCTCCCACCGGGGAGGTGGGAACTTTTCAGATCTGTATTTGGGTCCCTACTGAGAGTTCATATCCAAATTTTTAAAACTTTATAAATTTTTTCTTCTATTCCTTGTTTTACGAACTAACTTGCTTACACTATACTCTCTTTGCTTTTCTCCAATGCAATTCAGTATTTCAGTTATTAAATTTACTATGTGCAAATGGTACAGCAGCTAAATACAAAATGGATTTTACTAAATAGAAATACTGATAAGGAGAACTACCTGCATGTCCATTTTACGTTCTCTCTTTTCAAAAATGTCTTGAAGATGTCATAACATTCATAAAGAATGTATGTATACCTAATACGGCTTTTTTACAGGCATCAGTCACGGACCTGGCCTGATTACGCTGTTTCATTATCTATCCGTTCCAATTCTGTATCATCTTTTCTTTTGCATCTTCTAACACCACCTGTTTTCATGGGATTTTTGATCTGTCCTTTTTCTTTCTCTAAATTGCTTAATATCACGTATGTTTTACTTTCCTACTATTTGCAGTCCCATGTCTAAGGCCCAATTCATTCATCATCTTCAACAGCATCTTGGTTTTCTCGCTATAAGCGCGACCACGTCGGCATACAACTTTGTAACCGTAATCCAGGAGCCCTTCCCTATTTAATTGAACTGATCTATTAATTTGTTCTAGGAATTTTACCATTTAATGCTGCAAGCACTTTTTAATGTCTTATTTTGATCAGATTCTGCGGTATTTCAAACTCTTTGATTACCTCTAGCAATTTGCCACATTTTACAGTGGCATAAGCAGAGCTAAAATCAACAAACAATATGGCTGCAAGGATTTTATATTCATTTTAATGTTGGAAACCTTGAAATGCCGTTGGCGCCTTTTAATTATTCTATGGTGTTTGATTTTTGGGCCATTTTGTGATGAGTTATGAGTGGGGAGAAAGGCGTTGATGAGAGAAAGTTTGATAGTTTCTTTGGTTTTTCTTAATAATAAAAATATTAAATATTCGTGGAAAATAGCTAACGTCAGAAGTGGGATTAATCGGGATCAACTTAGATTGTGCACGGTGGACCTTATGATTACGTGGTAAGCGATTTTTAATAAAGAATGATTTTACCTAAGTATTGCCGTTGGCGAGTTATTTCAGACAAAGCGAAAACAAAAATGTTCGTAGGTACTTCAATTATGCCAGTGCAATCAGACTTACTTCAGTATTTCTGACTACTTTAGCACCCCACAGTTCTCCCCTAATGATATACTGTCGATTTGCACCGCGTATAAGTGAAAACTATTCAGAAATCGCTGACGAAATCAAACAAAATGTAAGTAGCATGATTGAAAAGGTACCTATTTTGTAAGGGCAATTAAAACATACCTGCAACTGATCGTTTTTCTATTGCAGTCAAACTATCATACAACTCACGAATTGGATTAGCGTCTGGTGGTAAACCATGAGACCATATAAGCATCATTCGGTATCCATGTTCTTTGTAACTCGAAGGACCTACAAATAAATAATTTATTTAAAAAAAATTATTTAACAACCAATTCGCTATTTAAAATTGATTGAGCAGTTATCAAAGCAGCTTTGCCGTTTTCGAACGTACCTGTGTATTGGTGTTCAATTGCTCGTATCTGCTCCTCCGTGAAAGCCCAATGGTTAGCAAGACGTTTCCACTCCCCAGGACTGAGCTGTTTGTAGGCGAGTTTAAACAATATCTCCCTCAGACGCTCGCTATCCCATCGTCGAATTCCTTCATCCTTCGAGTATCGCAGCTTCATGCGGGCGGAATTTAGGACCGGCCTCAATCCTCCCTCCTTTTTACTAATGTTGTTACTTTTTTCCTCCTGATGCAAATGGCAGGCACTTTATAACAGAAGCAACTACTTGTAGTACATTTAAAAGTAGCACGCAAATGAAATTTTTAGTGCATTTGCGTCAAATTTTACTACTTGAAAATGCAAACCTTATGATAAATAATCTTTTAAAATAAATATAGTGTTCTCTTTGGTGTCGAGGTCTTAAACAAGACTCAATTAATTCATAACCAGTGTTTTTATTCATAATCAACCCAACAATCAGGAAAATGGAACTCTTTTGCCTTTCGCTTATGTTAAACGTCTATTGACCAGGTATTGACTCATGTAAAAACGGTTTCCAGATTCGATGGGGTCAAGTCGAATGAAATAGTCGATGTTCCATGGGTCAGATTGAGCCAAGAACGGAGGGTTATGGGTCAATTCATTTGACTGTTTTAATCCAGTCGGGTTTGGTAGACTTATTTTGACAGCTTTTCATTTGGGTCACACTGTTCGCCACACGAAAACCTAATATTACATTCGGACTTTATCTCAAAAACTGGGACTTAAACTCTGATATTCTCATTTTACCTCGGACATTCTGACAAACTCGGAATATCCTATCCTAAGTGATAAAGTATCTGAAATAGGTAACTAAAGATACACAGTAATCTTATATGAATATGAAAGCTCCAAGACAGACACATAGGGTAATAAAATACCCTGATTATGTGATCCCAGTAGATCAAAGTCAAAATTCAAATAACTGGGGTTAGCGAACAGGAAAGCTCTGTTTCGAGGCCTTATTTAATGGTCGGTCGGTCACCTATGTAAAGTCGCGTAGTAAGTATATGATTTCAAAAACTATCGCACCGTTTTTCAGTAAATGACCTGTTAATTATTTTAAAATTCGTTCAATCATTTGCAATCAAGAGCTCTTAATACAAGGTTATCACTACAAAAGCATTTTTAAAGAGCTTTTCATGTGGGAGTTGCGATTTAAAAATGCGAAAGCAGGGTTTGTGGGGTGCATTGGAGGTTCGCCCATATTAAATTTTTGGGATTTTTTGATAACATAGGTACTGAATCTCTCTACTGGCAACTTTAACAATTGATACACGTGCGTTTTAATTTCGAGGGGGATGTTTTAGACAGATTGCCACCTATCTTATTAACTTTGTATTTTATTCCACTTAGTTTGTTCATCGTTTTTGCTTGATTCCTCTAAAAGTAGGACAGAGGAAGTTTCCTTCGCGTTGGGGGTTAACAGTTTAATTGAAAAGTAGAATTGATGTGATTTTCCTAATGTATGGCTTGTCCACAGGGAGTGAAATCTATATCTGGCATGATACGCTCTAACATAGATACACTGCATAATTCACTTTAAAGTCAATAGGAAGGCAGAGAACTCTAATAACACCCATTGTATTTCATCTAGAGAAATTCTAATAAAACAACCCTCAATGTTGGTTTGAACTTAGCTAAAGTTTGAAGTTAGTCGTCACGAAAGTGAGCTTTTCTATTAAGCTCCGGTATAAATAATTCTAAAGTAAAACTTTCGGTATTCCGCAATAAACTCAACAAAGCAGAAACTTACGTGAGGAGGGTAGTCGAGACGTGCCGTTTTTATTATCATGTCAACAATGGCCGTAAAGCTACCTCTAGCGGCTATGTACAACGGTGTTCTGCCACCTTGCTCTCGCTGTTCAATATTTGCGCCAGCCGACAACAAAAGCTTGCAAATGTCCACATGCCCCATTTCGGCTGCGATATGTATTGGAGATTGAAGACGCTGGAATCATCAAGTTGTACCACGTGCGTAAAAGAGACAATACTTACCGAATTTAATGCGTTCAAGTCTGCACCTTTTCCTATAAGTATTTCAACTATATCGACTACGTTTACTTGACAAGCCAAATGCAACGGTGTATTTCCCATCTGCAAGCACACAGATAAAAGATGCTGTTAAATAAAATGTCACGCTAGGTTTGATATTCGTCAAAAGCAACGCTGAAGAAAATGATCATATCAGATGTACAACCAAGAGGGACAAACAGTAAATTTGATAGTTGTCTACGTTTGCGTAACAAAGAGAGTTTACTCCATTATTTTCTGCTCACCACAACAAAGAGCGTTTGCTAAATTTGAGGAAAATGTATAGTAATAGTGTGCTAAAATTAAATCTAAGGGTTGGTTAAATCTTCCGAGTAGACGTTTAAAACATGATACCAAATTGACTAGTTTGAAATCTCAGTGGTGCACGTGCTGTTTGAAACCAAATTCACTTTACACATTTATTTCGCACTTACCTTATTTTGTGTATTTAAATGTGCACCATGTTGCATGAGAGCTTCCAAAATCCCTCGGCTACCCAAACTGCAGGCGATGTGCAGTGGAGAAAATCCCTTCTGAAACATTAAAAGACACCCCATATAATACATTGGCAGCAACGCTTAATGAATGTTCCTAGGAATTAATGATGATGATGAGATCAATTGACTAGCGATTGGCATACTTACGGCATACGGGACCTTGGACCTATGGCATATTTTTACAAGACATACAAAAAAGAAAATCTCTTATACCCATATTTCATATTTTTCTAAGTTTCAGTGGAATATATTTATACGATATGAATTGTAGAATTGCTACATAAAGGTTTCATGGGCACATCTGGCCAAGAACATCATTAACAGATGTGTCCCGTCCAAATGTTCCCCTTTCCCTTTGTGTGCACCCATTTCTGACACTCCGTCCCCAAGATATTCGCATTTGAAGTATTTATCCTATCTATAGGTGGGCTTGCGCCATGACTACAATTTGTTCCTCTTATCTTATCGCTGCATAAATAAAAAAGTTAGTTCTGCACATGCGCAAATCCATTTTTGAGTATGTTTTCATGAAAAATGTGCAAAGAAAGCAACTTATTAATTTATTATACACGGGTTTCATGTAAAAATGAACTACCGATCGTAATTTGCAGTTTTGGCAAAAAGTTAAAAACCGCTAAACACCTCCATTTAGAAATCTAAGAGGAAGTTTAATGGAAGGATCACTTTAGTTTTAGCATTTATTCGCGAGAGAGCGATCTGATCATCGGAACTCGACGCTAAAGGAGCAATAAAAAGAACAGTATCCGAAAAATCTCCCGAAAGCTTCACCATGGAAGATAAGAGCCAAAAATATCTTGCTCTGTCTCCAAAAAACTAAGCAAAAGAGATAATGTACCATCGACGGCGAAATAGGGAATGGTAATAGCAAAAACGAACCAGTGAATAATACACCAAGGGAAAAGGATAAAGCAAATAATAAACAAAAGTGAATGTGATGTATCAGAAACGAGTATAAAAATAATAGATAAATAGCTACATGGAACATACCAAGTATAAAGGAGAAAAAGCAAGATACCTCCAACAGGAGTTTGGAGAAAGAAGATTTAGACATACTGGCAATACTTTTAAGCTAAATGTATTCACACTACTAGACAGAAAACACGAGAAAGAGATGTGAAAGTCAAAAGAGAACCACAAATATACAGTCACCATTACATGGCTTTGGTCAAAATAAAGTTATAAACGGATACAGACACAAGACAACAAGTAACACAGACCACGATAAACACTTACAGACAACTGAGAAGAGACAGCTAAACAATTCCAAACCAAACGGAAACAGAAATGTGAAAACCACTCGTATATATCGATCAATAATTGGGCGCTACTTATTTATTTTTTTAGGAGTGCATTGCAGAATCGACATTAATTTGCAGCACCTTATGTCAATCGCTGTTAGTAAAAAACAAGAGACCGTATTTAGTTGTTGGGCGGTTTACGTAGAAAACAAAACCATCTTTTGGTTGACCCGAACTTCCAAGTAACAATGCACATTACTGTGTTAGCGAATTTGGAAATTTCAATCCGGCCATTTCACTGAGTGTAATTAACCGTAGTTAATTAATGGTGTCGCAGCAAACCTCGTCTGATTGGAGCTTAATTAATTTAGATCAAAATCTAAATTTCTTAAAAAATCTGAGACATATCTCAAAAGATATGTCTCAGATTTTTTAAGACGCCCGAGAACTGGCATTACACAAAGAAGTTTTAATTTTTGGACGTTATCAACCAAATACGCCGACCGGCCGGAATTTCGTTTATAAAATAAAAAAAGGTAATCATTTGCTAATTTTCTTCCGCTAATTATTAGGGGAGGGGGGGGGGTTCCTCTTTCCTGCATTTTGTTTCCCGGTAGATACCGTTCATTACTTTGTGCTTCCGTTCCGTTAAAAAAAAATTTTTGTCACGACCGTATGGGACAATTCTGTTTTTAGATTATTATCCAAAAGCCGGCCGCCGCTGGCCGCAAGATCTCTGGAGACAGTTCCTCTGACGTGCTATCTGTGGCAACCATTTTGCAACAAAGAAGAATGGCTCCTCCAATTTAACAACGCAATTTTTTTCGGAAAGTCAGAAATGAGAGCACGTTTTATTGCCTTAATTTGTGGCTGTCCATTTTCATCTCCCTTTTCTTCGTAAACCGCATCGAACTACACGGCGGTTTAGAAAAACACAGCTTAAATCGTAAGGTAGAACGAATGGAATTCTAACTGCCATATCTCGATTAGATTCCGCCGTGTTCCATTTCGTTTATTTATCGTATACCTGCTTTAGATATTTCGGCTGTATCTGTCGTACGGTAACTTCCATCGATAATCGTTGATTCACGATTACTCCTCTGATAAAAGAGGTAAATACATGAAATGTTATGTCATCAAAGAAGGGGATTACCTTTGATTTCTTTTAGGGTTAAAGTTCCATACACGTTTTACGTTACTTACCAATTCGTGTCCAACGTACCAGTTTTGTAACCTTGGGTTAAATTCACCGTTACATGCGTGTGCCAAAGTTTAACGTACACGTTTGGGGAAATTCGCATATTAGAATATTTTGCGTAATTAATACAATTTTGGAGATACGTTAATTTGTCATTGAGGATAAACCTTATTTCTTTTGGTATCTAAATTGATTTTACTGTTATGACTACCTAAGTATCTTCTCAATTTCATACGGAGAGAGTTAAGGTAGAAATTTAGTGGCGCTCAACCCCATTGGTACGTTGTAACGAAGGACCAAGAATCATATGCCCAGAACGAACTACCGCTGTGGAAGATCTCAAGCTTTTATTTTATTTTCCAACCCTGAGCTAATTGGCCGTTTGTGCGGAGGGTTTGAGGTAACGCGGCACCAACTCTGCCTATTGTTATAAGAGGTTTGGTGTTTAGTAGTGTTACAGAAATTTTTTTATATTATGCCAGGCAGGTGAAATCCTCACTAAGTAACAAATTTACATTTTTTACGACTACGAGGATAAAGATCATTCCTCTCTTTGGTTTCACAGGCAGCAAACAACCACACTGAATTATTAACTAGCTATTTATGGTAACGGATATATCTTGGCGCGCTTAATTAATTCGTCCTTGAGCGCGTCTACGTCTCTCCTTTATGCGACGGACCGCGATTACACAACGATCACGAACTGTGTATTTACTTTCCCTTAATTTCCCGATACCCCTATTTTTTCTGCGCAGATGAAACTTCAAAGTTTCTTTTTTTATCTGTAACTAATGCCCACTAATGGAACTAACTTGCGTTGTTACGTTTTACGTTACAATAAACACCTAAATACCCGTAATTGCCACTAGGTTCTTTTTTATGCTTGAACCTTTCGCTTTTAGAGCTCGAAATGAAGCTAAATTTTGGATCACGTACTAACTATCTCGTTCTCTAAGACCGAATGAAACCCAAAAATCTCCCCCTAAGACGTACTATTTTTTTCTTATTAACCACCAACCACAAAACTATTCAGTGGCTTAAAGTAGATAAGGCCAATTAAGGTACCTATTTTAGCGGTTGTAGGACAATTCGCTCCTACAGAATTCGCGCCCAGGATAATTCCCTCCCAGGAGAATTCGCTTCCGGACAATTCGCTCCCGATCAATTCACCCCCCGACTATTCGCTCCTAGGAGAATTCGCTTTCAGAACAATGCGCTCCCAGGATATATCGATCCCCGAAAAAATTAATGTAGAGATCAAATGGATTGATGAATTAAACTAAATAGATTTTTCACAAAATCAAGATAAGTCAAAACGGATAATTTCAGTTCAAGTAACCAATCTCCCAGGACTAACTTTGAAGAAGAGTCCCATTTTGTTTGAGAGTTTTGCGTATTGTGGCCAACAGGTCATTATGAAGTCTTTGGGAAGTGAAGTGTAATGAAATGAGTCGCACCATACATCACATCTAAAATTATACATCTCACTTTGTGAGCGAAAACAAGATCATATAGGATTACCATTTACCAGCCCTATCTATCCAGCTTCTGATGGTGGAGAGCTGATTGTACCAATATTATGGTAGACACATAAAGAAAGCAGCTTGTCTCTCTGGTTTCCGAGCGAATGTGCAACACCAGCCCCACGTTTAACAATAAGTTTTAAAAGTTAAACCAACTAACATTCTGTTAAAGAATTCTACGGGAGAGAATTATTCTAAGCGCGAAATTTCTGGGCGCGAATTTTCCGGGTGCAAATTGTCTGAGAGCGAATTATCCGGGCGCTAATTGTCCATTTTAACTTTTGTTACAGCGACATCTCGTCTCCAGACATCTGAAGATAATGCTCTTCAGAAAATAAAAGACGCAGAAAGTACAATCTTTCAATTCCACCAAATATGCTTACAGATTTACTCTTGAAATTCCACTAGACACATAATTTACTGAAAAATCGGCCCTCTAAGATTCGACACCCTGTAAATTTTCTATGATATGCAATGCCTAACCTGCTCTAACCCTTGAAGTCTCAAAATTTCAACTATAAAATTCTATAAAATTCGAAAAAATATATTCAAATTTAGCGCTACCGTTACAACCCTATAATATCCTATGACGTATTTATTTTGCTAGTGTCTTGAAACCGTGTCCACATACTTCGAGGTAGCATAGGAAAATTGGCAAATAAACGCTTATCCAATACAATCAATCGATAATTTCACAGGTATAACAGAAATGAAAGCCGAGAGAGCCACAGTTCCGTGATTCCTGAAGCTCAATAGTACGAAGTTTAAAAAAAATTAAACAAAAGCGTTGGAAGACTATGTAATATTATTTTAATTAAAGCAATAAGACCTCATGTCGTGATAAAATATGCCAAGCTCGCTTTAATAAACAACGTGTTAATTAAATTCAACCCTCAAGAGCACGTCTTATACCCGTAGAATATATTTTAGAAAGAGAAACTAATTCCTTTCATCCACAGCGTACCGAATACTATTAAAAATGTAGTATTGAGCGACGAGAAAGCATCTTACCGAATTCTCAGCGTCAGGATCCGCTCCGTGATCCAAAAGCAGTTGCACGAGCCTTGTTTGTTGATTTTGAGCAGCAATGTGTAAAGGTGTATTTCCTTGGGAATCGCGTGCTTCCATGTCACCTTCATGAGTTAGGAGAAATTCTGCTACATCCGCGTGCCCCCTTTCCGATGCGGCGTGGAGTGCAGTACGAGATTCCTGCGAAAATAATGATTTAGTTTAATACTATTACTCGAATTGTTCCTGCGAAGAATAGGTAAAGGAAAAAGGAAAGCTTCCTCAAACAGTAGAGGTGGATTTAATTACCGTTTTTTAATAAAAGTAAGCTCATTACGGTATCTAATTGATTGTATATTAATTCCAGTCTCGAGATTTCCTCCTTTATTTTCAAACATAATTGTAAACTAAAACTTCCAGTCGGAAAACGTGTCTAGGAAAACTCAATAAAATAAAAGATGCATGTCAATATTGATGTAGCGACTGAATTAATGAAAGGGATGAGTTATACTAATGAATAGTAATGCAGCGAATTAATCGAAATTTTATTGAAAATTAACCCCACCGACGGTAACTGTCTAAAATGATTGTCAACAGTAGGTAATGTTAATATAGGTCAAAATCATGACCGGTATTCTGGAAAAAAGTTGCTGAAAGGGAATGGACACACCCCGCTAACACATTTTTTACCTAAATCTCTTGAAAAAAATGTAATATTTCAGCAGTTGAAAAAATTGAAAAGCAATAATGGTACAAAAAAGGGAGACTTAAACAACGCTATAACGTATAAAATAGTAAACTACGCAACGTAGACAAAAGCGATACATTTCCCACAAAGATTATTACCACCTGACACGCGAAGGTTGGGGACATCAAAGGCTACTATTCCTATAATACGTGAAATTTATTTCAAGAATGATTTGACTTACGCTTCTTGCCATTTATGATACACTAATCAGTGAAAAAGGGACGACTAGTGTGCGATTCGTTTTCCAATGGGTGAAAGTTTACGAGAAAGCAAAAAGTACGTGTGTTTTTTGCTTTCGGTTTTGATGAAATGATTTCTAATCGATGAAAAGGTCGTTTACATAACGATCAAAATAGGTGGTGACAACAAACGTGATTAATTTCTCTAAAATCGATTGCCAAAGACCATTTATCATTATAGTAGGGGAGCTAGCACGAAATCCACTGAACGAGAATGATCAAAATTTTAACCGATGGAGTTCCATTTTGCCCTATCAGAGTATGCTAAAATCGATCGTCTGCCGCCTCAGGTCATACGACTTAAGGCGCTGCGGGTACTTCTTGTGCTACCAATTCTGAAAGGTTGTTTTTCGAGAAAATAAGTTATACACCAAATGAAAACGTTGATAATAGCTCTTAAAAAAATATTTAAAAAAATCGCGCACATTTGATAACTCCGTAAAACAACAATTCTTAGTCGGTTTTTCACGAACTTTCTACGGATATAACTAGGTTACCGTTGGAAGAATGAAGCTGATTTTTTTTACAGACTAATGATAGGTACAGCCAATGACTATGAGAGTGTTTCTTTTTTAAATTTTTTCTCTAATTATAAGATATCTTATAATGTTAAGATAATAAGATAATCTTGTAATTAGAGAAAAAATTTAAAAACGAAACACCGTTAAGTCATTAGTAGTACCTATCATCAGTCTGTAAAAAAAATTAGCATCATTCGTCCAACCGTAACCTAGTTATATCCGTAGAAAGTTCGTGAAAAACCGACTAAGAATTGTTTTTTTACGGAGTTATCAAATGTGCGCGATTTTTTTAAATATTTTTTTAAGAGCTATTATCAACCCTGTTCATTTGGTGTATAACTTATTTTCTCGAAAAACAACCTTTCAGAATTGGTAGCACAAGAAGTACCCGCAGCGCCTTAAGTCGTATGACCTGAGGCGGCAGACGATCGATTTTAGCATACTCTGATAGGGCAAAATGGAACACCATCGGTTAAAATGTTGATCATTCTCGTTCAGTGGATTTCGTGCTAGCTCCCCTACTATTATGTCAAACCTAAAAAATGTAAGTATATAACGAATACCTTATTTCGGCGATCAATGGATGCACCTGCTTCCACCAATCTTTTAACTACATTTAGATGTCCTCCCATGGCGGCGTGAAAGAGCGCAGTTTGTCCCTCAATATCAACGACATCAACACGTACGTCTTCAAGATTATCCAAAATGTAGTCGACGACATCTAATCGATTGTTTTTTGCGGCGCACATTAAAAGCGTAAAGTGTTTCTAGAACATTAACGTTTTAGGCTTTAATAATTAACGAGGAGAACTGAATAGTTTGCTTGCTATCAATGCTTTCAATCACTAATCAATACTGGTAGAATATGTGTCAACAAAAACGTGATTAAGTACTCAATTTCTAAGGTAGAATATTAGTAATTTCACGGCCATATTTACAAACTCTTTGTAACATGAGTCATAATTAATTCATAATGTTTTCAAAAGAGTATACATAAGTTAGTAAGTTTTTAAAAGCTTAATCGTTTACAACATAAACCAAAGTTCTGGATTTAATTGAATCAATGAAAAGATTTTAGAACTTTTAGCATTTCCACTGGGTATGATCACAGCAGTGATTGAGGTTTTAACATTGGAAATGTTTATGTTTTCATATATGGGTGTAGTATTTTGTAGTATGTAGCGGTAGTAACGGTAGTTTTGGAGACTGAATTTGAAAATTTTGCCAATTAGTGCGATAAAATTCCCGTTGAACCACCGCATTGTATTATAGTTTGATTTATACTGATTGTTAAAACATTCTTCGAACCTCGGAGGCAACTGCACCTGGTAGGAACAGTAAAACCACGGATACAACATTTGGCGACCGTGACAGGACACTGTGGTGAAGGTTGAAAAGCTAGAACGCACATCGTGCATAATTAAGTGATTAGCTGCTGAATTCGGAGTCTTCGCACTTCAGAGGCCGCCTGCAGCTACGTGTGTTGTCCATTTTCTTCGAGGGATTGTTACAGAGAACATCTAAAAAGGAATGGAGCAGAAATTGAAACATCTTAAACTAATGCGGGTACTGTTTACGAATTGCACCAATGAACTGTTTTGTCTAATTCTTGAGAAGAAACCAGTAAATGAAATAAAAGTCAGTTGGAGTCTTTTGCAAGAACCTTATGAGGATTTAAAACTAGTGGAACAACAACTGCACGAGCTGTTGATAGACGACGCTTCGATGTCAGAAACGGAAATCATTCAGGAGTTGGAAGGAGCGAAAGTCTACAAGAGGAAATACATAGAACTCCGTCAACAGGTAGATGCCATCGAAGAAGTACGATAAGTACTACAAGTTCTCATCAAAATCGACGTAGATTTAAACTTCCTACAATCGAATTTAGAAAATTTGATGGCACGGTGAAGGTTTGGTTGCCCTACTGGTACCAGTTTACGAAGGTGCATGATGATCCAAGTTTGGATGATGATAAGTTCGAATATTTGCGACATGCCACCAATTCGAATAGCCGAGTACGGATGCTTGTTGAAAGCTACCCGGCAACTTCGCAAAATTATACGAAAATAGTAAAGGCATTGAAGGCGCGTTATGGTAGAGAAAATCTTCAGATTGAAGTTCAAATCAGAGAACTCCTCCAGTACGTATTCTATTGGATTCTGGGTCACATTACACATACATTCTTCAGTCGACAGCGAAGAATCTGGGTTAAACATCGAAACGTTCGGAAAAAATTGTTCATAATTTGTTCGGTGGGAGTAATGTATTGAACGAACATCATTGCTACATGGTTAAAGCTCGTCATCGTGATTATGTGTGTTCTTTCGTAAGCCTTGTCGCAAAGAACGATTTGTAACAGCATTCCTCCAGTTTTTGATGGTCCCTGGACGGAAGAGCTACGTAGGTACACTCAACATTGAAATATCCGATTTGGGAGACCCTGCACCTGTAGAACTGTTGATAGGTTCTGATCTTGTCGGCAAACTCTTCACTGTCAGAAGAAAGGAGTTGTCTTCTGGTCTAATTGCGAGCGAGACTCTTTTTGGATGGACTCTTATGAGGAAGATTCCATGTGAACCTGAGAACGCTACAGCAGTGTCAATGTTAGTGAATAATTCTAACCTACAGCAACTTTGGCAGTCAGAGACTCTGGGAATCACCGCTCTGGAAAAAAAAAGCTTAAGATATGATGGTTAGAGAAGCACGAGTTTTTTTGAGCACAACAAAGGTGGATGATGAAAATCGATGTTTTATTTATTTATTTATTTGCCTTTACTGTTGAGTGGGCGGGATTTCAACCAAGGCTGCTCTACCAACCTAACCCACTCTACATTTACAAATATCCATGCCCGAACCCGGATTCGAACCAGGGACCCTTAGCACCACAGTCCAGTTTCAACTGAACCGCGCCACACGGGCCGGCGGTTGCTTTGGTTGTCGAAACAATTTTGGTGTGGCGAAGAAGAGACTCGAGAGTACTCTACAGAAGTTGGATCGTCAGAATCTACGATTTTATGGGTGGATTCTGAAGAAAGAGAAGTCATCTATCGGCATCGACGGGTCGTCTTTGGTCTAAGTTGTAGTCCTTTCCTCTTAGCGCCGATCGAATTACATCTTCAGAAAGCGAAGGGACATAATCATTTGATCTCCTCAGTCAATTTGATTGCCACGAGTTTCTACGTGGATAACTCCGTTACGAGCCTATCAGAGGAGAGTGAACTTAAATCTTTTGTATCCGAGTCCACGGCGGTGATGAACCTCGGAAAATTTTAGTTGAGAGGGTGGGAGTATACTGGGCAAGAAGGAAGCCAGTTGGCTCCAATTTTAGGCCTCGTTTGGGATAAGTTTGATGACACTGAGTGTAGCGAGTGATTATGAGCTGGTTCATTCACGTCCAATGTCAAACCATGCTATCCATTGCGCAGAAGATCTTCGATCCCGGGGTTTTACATGCCGGGCTACTTTATTACCCAAGCTACTGCTAAGGAAGACGTGGGAACAGAAAGTGTCTTGGGATGAGCAAGTAACAGAAGAGATTTCTTCGGATTTTCAACGGTGGTTGGAAGAAGTTCATCTTTTGGCGCAAATTAAGGTACCTCGTTGGATACATTTTTCTCTCCGTGATTCCAACAAGTTGAGTTTGCATGTTTTTTGTGATGCAAGCCAGAACGCCTACGCAGTGGTGGTGTTTTTAAGAGACATCTTCCAAGGAGAAGTTTTCGTTCAATTATTAGCTGCAAGAAGTGGAATTGCTCTTTTGAAGAAAGCAACGATACCTAGACTAGAACTCCTGGCAGCTCTAATAGGAGCTCGGTTGTCCAAGTCAGTTCTTAGTGGTTTGGCAGAGGAAATCAAAACTAATTTCTGGAGTGAATCCACTACGGTTCTGTCGTGGATCAAACGACGAGGACAATGGAGTATATTCGTAGGAAATAGAGTTCTCTATCATCGCCTACGGAATGGAATCATGTGACAGGTTCAAAAAATCCAGCTGATTTACTATCTCGAAGCGTGCTACTCTCCAAGTTGCTTCAACCTCGCTGGTGAGAGGGACCGAATTGGTTGTAGGTAAGAGTCTCCAGATAAATGACCGATTTCTTCGGAGCAGTGTGATGAGAATTAGGTAAACGGAGAACGTATAACGAAATGTGCAACTCGTTTGAACACACATTCAGATTCCATCGAGAGGCATTTGGAATATTTCTCGAAGTTTAGGAAGATATTGTGCATGATGGGGTGGATTTTGAGATTCCTGCACAACTGCAGAACTAAAGAGAATTATCTGCCATCTTAAATTTTAATATTGCATTTTCTTTAAATTTCGCATAGTAGGTAACCTAAAAAAACCAGAGAACCAGTTTATCTATCATTTTCGTAAAAACAAAAACTCAGTTATTTCAAAAACAAGGGTGTGGAGCGTTCAATTGTTTTGGAATAACCTGCTTTAACTTCTTAACGGTTTGACCAATTTTAACCAGTTTGGTATCGTTGAAAAGAGCATTCCTTGGGCAATAAGAATCAACCAAAACATAGCCAAAATTTAGTTGAATCCTTCTCCACCAGGGGGCTAGTTTTGACAGCATGACCCAAAATCCTAAAAAAATCAAAAAAATCAAATGGAATAATATTTTTTTTTCTCTTTACGAAATACTAACCTCAAATATTGGGAATCCAAGAGTTTATGTACAACGGGCAACAATAAATGAAACAATTCTTGGATCATGCGAAAAAGAAGAATTTTATACACGATATTTTTCCATTACAATAACTTTGTAATGGTGGCTAATTTATATCTATACTTCTTCAAACTGTGGTTACACGTGATTAAATAGGAATGAAAATTATGTTACGTTAATTCCAGCAAGCAAACTATCAGTTAAGATTTAGTGGTTATAACAGAGATTAAATCAACTCACAAGGAGTTTTGCACGTGACTTTTCACAGAAGCAGCAAATCCTTATTATTAGAACCCTCATCAAACGCATGTTACACAAACGCTGATTAAAGTTCTTGTTAGTTTATCAGTTGGTGTAATATTACATTAATCGATCAGTCTACAGAGACCTTAATCGGCCTTTTCCGAACTGAGCATAAACATAAAGTACCTATTGATCTTTATTTATACTGTTTCTTTTTATGCTTGATTAAAGTATGGTGGAAGAGAAACTGACCGCACAAACTCTAATTTTTTACCCTTTCGACTTTGAATATACTAATTTTATATTCAAAGCTTTCGACCATCTGTATAAAATATACGGTCAGTAAACTTAGAAATTTTGGCATAGTTGAAACGGGTTACCAAAAAAAATTTAGTAACGGCATATTCAATTATTCATTTAACTGTTATGTGAACAAAAAGAGTAAGTAGTACCTTATTCGTTGCGTTAGAACAAGCGCCTGCATTGATTAGGAGTTGCACAGCATCTCGATGTCCATGCCATGCTGCCATTAATATAGGCCGCATTCCATACTGCAAAAAAAATATTTAGTGGTTAGAAAAAGCATTAGTAATGTTAACTAAATTCTTCGGTTGGAAAACATTAAACGTTATGGGAATTGTGCAGTTAGCAATATTTTACATAAGAGTTCAAAACGCTGCAAAGTAACACACGTAAATAATATAAATTAAGCACATTCAAAGTTATCTACCAAAATTTGAATGGATCAATATAAAACACGATGAAATTGCTCCGCTATTCTATTAGAGGTTCATTCCTTATTTTAAGTTACGATTCTTTTTAAGACAGTAGAAAGGTAATACTTTAACAGCAAGGGTAGATAGATGCTTGAACTCATTCAGATTCCAACTAATTGCCTTGATCATCCAACCCCACAGGCTGTGATTCATTCTAAGAGCCCTGAATTCATTTCCTCCTGGATCTGCAGGTGGGTTGAATAGCCTTCGCCCACAAATCCTTAAGGACCTTATATTTTCTAACACAGTGGATTCTCTTCTCATATTTACAAATCTCGTGTTATCTGGCCAAGTTCGGTGAGTCTCTAACAGCTGTTAAAAAAATCAGAAGGAATCCGGACCATTGCAGTCGAGGCGCCTTTGTGTCAAAAATGGTTACCCGGCGAGTGACTCCTGAACTTCTAACTGATTTGTCCCCTCATTCATTGGTTGTAGGCCAAAAAAAGCGGAGCAGAGCCAGGGGCTCACACGGCCCAAGCATTATACTCCCAAAGTATTTTTGAAAATTGATTTAAAAAAAGAATACGTTACTGAGAAGGGTAAAAGAAACATTTTCTTCTCACAAGCCTACAGGGATGAAATGATCCTCTACCACGGATAATCTAAAATTTACTCAAAACGAGAGATGCAGCAAGGAGATCCGATTGGTCCCGCTCTATTTGCAATGGTAATTCATACAATTGTCCTAACCATATGGCGTCAGAACTCAACCTTTGGTTCCTAGATGATGTAACAAACGTTATTCCACATTTAGATGTTGCCATCGTTAATAATACATGGTGTCAGGCGTAGGGTAAAAACAATGGAGAGTATATTTAAACCCCCGGATAGAAACACTAGCGATAACTGGAGAAAGTTTTTAATGATGTACAGGAAAAACTATGATCATGCATCAAATCAGTGGAACTCTGGTAAAGCAATGGAACCCCATACTTCACCAAGGTAATGCATTATACGTAATAAATCAAACAATCTAATTCGCAGAAATGGGTGAATGAACATGTACCTGTTAATCACACCCTTGATGATGATGTTAATATTATGAACATTCGTGACACAAATGTAAATGTACCAATTAAGACAAATATGGCTGCCACTGATAGTAATAAAGAAAATAAATTAAGGTTAATTTTGTTTAGAAATAAAAAAAGGAAATGCCGCCAAACACGGAACCGTTACTACAGTAGGAAATAAAAACGTAAAAGATTCAAAACAACAGGAAGACATTCTTGACAAGGGCGAGGCATCAGCGGTTCCTAACTAACAATATATTAAACTAAGTTATTAAGGAAGCAATTCTGTGATATAAATAGCATGTAGTTCTTACAATAAATATTAGTTTTCAACTGTCAAAGTGTGTAACTCGTGTAAAGTGCTCAGTTTATGAGAGACGAGATAATCTCCGGCCGAAATTTTATTTATTTATTGTCCGTCTGGTTCTGGGCCCTCAACAGACTTTCGCTCAATTACAGAGTGATCCGCATAATGGAGGTGTCCCTACAGAAGGTTCTATGGTACTCCGGTATTTACTTTACGAATTAGGAAAACTGCAGGAAAACCTAATTCCGAGTAGCCGGCAGAATGATCCGAACTGATTTAAGGAAATTCCCATCTCTGCCACAGATAAAAATTCTTACCTCAGCCCTGGTTTGAACATCCGGCCTCCGACCATGTACTCCAAGTACAGGAGAGAACCGTTTTCAGAAGATGCCACTAACTCCTTTCAGTGAAAATGGGGGTAACTCGACAAAATCAAAAGCGGGCGACCATTCAAGACCCGTATATACACGGCCCAGCCACAAAGCATGGCTAAATTGAAACTCCTATCCCAAAATAATACATTGGGATGACAATCTGCGTTTCAGGTATTGTTCCCTTTTCAAAACTGAATTCTTAGTACATTTGGAAAAAGATAAGCGAATGCTATTTCAGTTAAATTATTATCTGATTATAAAATATTTAAAACTAAGACGGCGCTAATTCGTCCTCTACTTTTAAAGAGAACTTGACGTTCCACAGAGAACAGGAAAACATACTAAGACTTGGTGAATGCCAGAAACTTAGAAATGGGAACACCCTTCAACGCTTTATTAATTCTTGTTACCTCGCTTGTTACACACAGAGGGGTGCCGTGGCTGCCGTCACTTGCTACACTCAAATTTTAGCCCCATTGCCTTTTCGGGGGATTAGAATAAATGATTCCCATTAACATTATACGAAGAAAACTTTCAACAAAAACAGTGGCGAAGTTTATGTTTTATTGTTGAAGGGAGATCAAAACAAATTATGCTTACGAATTCAGTTAATGCATGTTTCGTGTACAGCGTGCATTACTTTACATGAAAAATAAATTGCATTCGTGCCTTTAGCTTTAATTGATTTTGCCTTTGTTCAATTTTATTCGTACAGTTCACTAAATGTGACGCTGATCGGCGATATCTCAACAAATTAAGCTGTTTTATTCTCAATGGGCAAGGTTCATTCGAACAACTACAATGTAGCTTTACCTACTTCTATTTCTACAACATTGTATTAGTAAAGGCTCTTTTTTCTCAGCATTTTAACCACTGCAAGTTTGCTTAGAACCCCAACTTGATACTTTTGTAACTCTAGCTATTTGAATAGCACGCTTTAAATCTGTGCTAATAGCTAAATAATTCGAAGAAAAGATATAGTTAGCGTCTTTCACTACCAATTACTCGAAGGGACAATGAAAACGATCTGGTCCAATAAATTATACGTTCCAAGTAGAATAATAGATATATGCCCCAAAACAAAGGATGATGTTGATAGCTAGCAGATGGTGTTGCTTAATTACACTTAGCAAATTCTGATTAAGTCTAGCGATTATAATCCCAAATGCGATCTTGGTTTTGAAACACCGCTTCCTAGAGAGACACAAGTCTATACGGATCAATATTCAAGTGCTCCGAAAAATTTTATGGTAAACAGTAAAAAACCTGAACATCAATAACGTTAACGTAACAGATTGCGTTGAGTAACATGTGACACGTACGCGAAGAAGTAATAAACAGTAGATCCCCAATGCTTTTATATAAAAGGTATAAAAGGTTTCAAGGAATGTTTTGGAACCACGCTTACCTACTCTGTTATACCAAGTTCCTTGTGTCTTACACCAAAAGCGATTATTTCCATAGAAAAATTTATTACTAAATAAGCTCTGTGTGGTATTACATGGCTCTACAAATGCCCGCGGTTTGGATGCACACAAAATTTATTTAATTAGAAAGAGTTCTTTGAAAGGCCAGAGTGTTTCGTACCAAAAAATATAAAAGGTATACACGAGGTAAAAACAATGTAAAACATCTCAAAGCTAATTTTAGAGTCCAAAATCCTTTATTAAGCGGTAGAGCAAAGCGATACAAGGTTTATAGGAAAGTCGATGGTGTCCGCCTGTCCGTCCGTGAACACGATAACTGTCAAACGCTCAAAATGTTGATTAGAATGGGAATATGTCATTACGTTAAAATTGTTTAAATTAATCTAAACGTCTTCACCCGAATGGAAAAGGAAGTTATTTTCATAGCATTCCTCTTTGTTAATGCATTCATTTTTAGGATGTGCCATATGTTTTAATTTAATTCCCTATCTTTGTTTTACCTATATCGCAATCCGAAACCCATTTATTAATGGGGTCACCTAAGTTTTAATTAATTGGAACTAATTTTGGCCTTGCAGTTTTTGGATGTATCGTTCTAACGAGCATTAACGACTCCTTATCAAGAAGTGGAATAAACCATTGATCAATCTATAATTGATATGTATGCTGGGCTGAAACTCATATAACGCTTGGTATTTACGATCAGACGTTCTAAAATTCAATATATGAATTATCGAATCAGCTGCCAAAGTGCAGGTAAACTATAATAGTTTTTGTGGTGTCTTCCGTTATTGTATTTTTTTGCTACAATCGTGACGAATTGCTCTGCAATTGAACACATGAAGATAGATGTTGCTACTGTCCAATCAACTGTAAATTGCAGTTTAATTTATCTTTTGCCTTTGTCGTTAGTGTTAATGCGAGATAACTCCATTAGTATCTTCCTGTCCTGTGCCTGTCTGTAAATGAGATTAGATTAAGTTACCTACCTTCTATGTAAGTAATCAGCTGTGCTGAACATTTGCATTTAGTGAAGTACCTTGTCCAGAACTGTTTTATGCAATTAAATACCTTTTATGTGAATGTAGATTCTTTGCCAAGACAAAGGTTACACCCACTGGTGCCCGAGGATTCACAAAGCTTGTATTCTTATTTTATCTTTAGTTTATATTTTTATTTACTTTTTGGCGTGACGTGTACACGCCTGGTGCCCTAAAATTATTAGACCTTTGTAAATACCTCGGTGGTTGTTTCACTGGAAGATCCGTTTCTCCTGGCTAGCCGTGGTCAATTCCCTTTTCCATCTCGAGGTTCGCTGCACTTTTTTTGAGTTGGACTTTGAAAATTGATTGAACAATACAGGTCTGCTCTCAATATTGAATCGTTTACTCCCTAAACTTCTATATTCCGTAAGGATTTTTACGAGACATGTGATAGAGCAATTTATATAGTACATACAATAACTATTTTGTGCTGAAATATTGTATGGTTTTAACGATAAGATAAAGCATGCGAGTAACTGACTGTTCTCATGAATCGCCCAGTATATGGACTTGCACAATCCTGTGTGTTAATTACTATAATGAGACCTCTAGCTTACGCAGGTAGCATATTACGTAATGCATCTTCAACTTGTGCGGTTGGTGGGTTTTTG